ACCCTAAATCTTCTACTGTTTTTACAATATTAGATGCGTTGTCAGTAATCACGGCACTAATTTTCTCAGAAGTTATGTTCCAATTGCTACACATGTTTTGAAAAACTGTAGCTAAATATGTAGCATTATGTCGTTCATCGAGTTCTGTAACTCCAAATGTAATAGACAGTAGTTTTCCTTCTTCAATAAAATGTCCTGTCAAACCGAGATAACTTCTGGTATTTAAAGTATCCGTCCAAATATCGGTGGTTAAAGACAGGGCATCAATTTGTTTCATGTTTTCTTTAATTTTTAATGATAATATGTTATATTTAGCATCGATCATTTCANTGATCGTCATGCGACTGGGAACTTTATATAGAGGTGCCACAGTTTTCATGAAATGCAGGAAACCTGATTTAATAGTTGTATTTAATGATAAATCATCCTTTGCAATCATATAGATAATTGCAGTCAAAATTTTTGCTTCTTTGGAACCTCCACCTAAGAATAACAAGAAGTACTATAAAAAGTGATCAATAATAATAGAATAATATAATTATACACTTNTTAACATAGTAATGCATTCATACATTTATATGCCTTGACCTTTGATATGCATTCATCAATAAGAAGTTGGGTTAAAGATTTACATGTCCTAGCTGTTGAAATATCAGATGAAGTAGATACACTATCACATTTATCAATATCCATTAAACTAGATGCTGGAGATTTGGAATTGTCATTTATATGGCTTATTTCTTCCATTTCAGCATTAAAATTAACCTCATTATTAGTTTCTTTGAAAGATTTAAAAAAACGTTCTATCGTCTCTCTGTGAAACAATTTCTATTTTAAATCAACAATAAAAAATTAATAAAACTAAAATAATGTAATAATAATCACAAAAGTAATGAAAAAGATATATTGATATTAAATAAGATGTTATATGTAACCACACAATAAGAAATCACACAGATAAAATTGAGTAAAGCCAACACCAACATACATGCATTTGTTGATCACCATCATCAGTATCATCACACAATCTTTCATTTTCCTTTAGTCGNTTAACCTTATTACTTACATCATATAAATGTTCATGTTTTCGTTTCATATGATTATGAAGATTTGTCGTATTACCGGAAGATTTCACATGTAGTGAACATTGTTTACATGTTCCACCAAATTCGGTTTTAATAAAGTAATTCTATATGCCACTTTTTGTAGTTTTAGACATTTTACTATATCAGATTATCTGAAAACTCAATAATGATTGTAAGACATAGTCACTCTAGATCTTATTGAAAACAGTAATTTCTACCATCTTTATACCATTTATACTATTTGTAGCCCACCAGTCGTTGACCNTTGAAACTTGTAGCAACTTGCATGTTCTAACTTGCATATAAAACTGTGTTGAAGTGGCAGTGGGAGAAAATGAGTTGTNATTGGCCNTNNCGTAGAAACTAATCACGGCACGAAAAATGTAATTCTATGAGCAAGTTCCACTTGTCGTTCGCAACGCTCATGGAATCATTTCATCCTTGTTTTTCATCAAAAGTTAAACAAAAAGGTAACGTTCACGAGCGTTGCNAGTATCAGTGTCTGTGCGCGATTTATCCACTGGGTATAACCTGTGANCAATATTAAGAAACTCAAAAATGTGTTCGTAGAAAAATTCGGATGAAGTCGACAGCGTGAAAAATTCGGATGAAGTCAATGCATCCTGAACATTGAGATAGCGATGAATAAAGTACACACTTAAAAACACTTGATTTTTTTTTAAGCAAAATGTCCACGAAATGTAATTAAAGTTGGTTTTTTATTGCTTGGAATTGTGCTAGCACACGAGTAGAGAACCAAATTTAATACAAACGTTTTTTTTCTACAAGTTATGTTTGCACGTGACTGCTATGCGAAACGTACAAGACTAGCACGNGTCCGGTGTTCACATCATTGTAATATTCAAATTCTCATTTACTNGAATATAATGCTAAAACCCGAGCAATACGATTGGAAAATAGCTTCAAATCCATCTCAAAGATCCAATCACCGACCTCGATACACAGCACGTCACGAGACGTATATTTTTCACAGAACAAACTTAGTAACACGCATTACTCCGCGCAAGGAAACCAACTTTAAACAGTTTATGTTCTGTGGATGCTGGATTTTAGCCACTAGCGACAATATCCTTATGCAAACATCGTTCGGTCTTCCGACCAAAAAAAAATACTTCAAGGATTCTTAAGAAATTATCTAAAAGATTTTACTTTCGGTTGATTTTAAGTGGGTCAAAAGTCTCAAATAACTTCCGTCCGAAGAGAAATAGGTGGGGGAAACTGCGAATCTTTCTAAGAAGTGATGTAATGATTTTGCCTCGGGACAGAATCCAAAGTATCAAACATGTCCCTCTACTTACTGACGTTCTTTTTAGAAAATCAGATAAAAGAAATCACACATTTACGCATACGCGTATTGAGAAAGTTAAATTTTTTTCTACATGATGACCGAAGCTATAATACTGTTGTTTAGATCTGTCTAAAAACCGTGAANAATAAAAATAAAAATGTATAAAATATGATTTTTCTTTTCATCGCAATCTTCATGTTTNATTAATGGCGCTTAGCCCGAGTCAAATAAAACATCTCGTCGACTTTCATCCGCAGACGAACATATCAAAGATTTCAATATATATATATGTCAATTGGCTAATTTGACGACAATTAGTATGCATTGGCTAATTCGACTACTTTTGGCTATTTTGACGACCGTCGTCAAAATTCTAGCGGTATAATGTATAGTTTGACGACGTCGTCAGAATAATTTCAAACAAAGTAATGGTTAGTTTAACGACACTGAAAACTTTGGCGACGTCGTCAAAGTACTCGTAAACGAAAAAATGACTCTTTTGACGACACTGTATACTTTGACGACATTATAAGCATGTAATAGCGATTTTCATGACACGTCAATATATCTTGTCAGAAAAAGAAAGGAACTATGTATACATAATAGAAATACTGTTTCTTGATAATAAAACCATTATTATTAATAATAAAATTTTTATTATTGTATATTTTATATTTACTTGTAAATATACAGTAATAATCTCTATTATCCTGTTAAAAGTAACTTATGGTTTAAGTCAAACTTTAACTAATTTACAAACATGGTTTAAATTGTTTGTGATGCTGTGTTATAAATGATGAAGATTACCACAAGAGTAACGAGAATTCATTGAGAAGTCTTACTGTGCCTATGTCTGCTGGTAATTACATATTTAGAATATTTTAGATGTTCTGATTTTCTATGTTTTATGTATTTATATGTCTTTTGTTTTTGGTTTTATACTTATAATAATATAGCGAATATACAATTTGTCGAAAGCGAAAGCAATAAAACTCCTTATGTTATAAATAACAAAGATAACCACAAAAGTAATGCAAATTCACTGAAAAGTCTTACTGTGCCTGCGTCTGCTGGTAAATACAGTATTATTAAGACTATTTAAAAAATTCTGATTTTATATTATAATTTTTTAATGTAATTATGTTTTTTGTTTATATATAACCAAACACAAAAAACATAAATACATAATTCAGTGAATTTGCATTACTTTGTGGCTATCTGTGTCATTGCTAACACAAGTTTCATTGTTTTTGATTTTTTCAGACCGTATTGTTGTATTATTGTCGATAACCATAACCAAAAGTCTTATATGTAAAATCAGAATTTTTAAGACAGTTTAAATAAAAAGTATACTTACCAGCACACGTAAGCATTGTAGTACTTTTAAAAAAATTTTGATTACTTTGGGACCTATTTGTAAGATGAGATCTAACAGAGATAGAGTGTATCATTATGAAAGGTTTTTTTCTATCAATATTTGAAAGAATTGGTTGTAATAGATGTTCATCATCTAGAAAAATAAAACAAGTTTAAAATAATATCACAATTATGTATGTTTGTAGCTATAGCTTTTATATTATGTCTGTGTTTAACAGAAAAAAACGGTTCATTTGATGTACAAAACTATATATATACCCAGCAACCACAAAGTAACAGTAACGTAACTTTAATGTTATAATTTTCCACTCAATGATGTACCTGCAATGTAACATGCCTTGTACGTAGCAGTTACATTGTTGAGTGGGAAATTGTAACATTAATGTTACTTTGTGTTTGCTGTGTATATATATATATTATATCTACATATCAAATGAGCCATATTTTTCTCTTACTTAAATTTACATTCTGAATAAAATTTTTTATATTTAGTACATACTTTTCTTTTCAAAATCAAAAACCATTTAAACACAGACATATTTATAATATACAAGCTACTTCTACATACACATAATTCTGATGTTATTTTAAATTCGTTTTATTTATCTAGATGATGAACATCTATTACAAGAAACTTTTTCAAATTTTGATACGAAAAAATCTTTCATAATGATAAATTCTTTCTTTCTATTGGATATTACAAAGGATCACAAATGACTCACAAATGATTCAAAAAGTAATCAGAATTTATTAAGA